TGTGAAACAGAATTCTACACTGTACGCTAGTATAAGTATAATGTACAATGTACATACAAAAAATTACCTCGCTATATCAATGTCTAACGAGTTGAAAACAAGCAACAAATTGCGCCGACCTTGATAATATTTTTATAATAATAGTCGTCTAAGATTCGATTTTACAATACTCAAAAAAAACTGAACAAAACCTCGCGACTATAAAAACGAAATTGTTTTGTTATGGATATTTTAAATGTTGTTATGGACAGATTATAATTCCTTTATCGATCGATTTATTGCAGTTCGCATACCGTGGCGGATTAACCGTAAATTGATAAGTTCCGATGCCATAATGCAGGTAAAGTTACTTATTTCCCGACATAAAAAAAAAAAAAAAAAAAAAAAAAAAAAAAAAAAAAAAAAAAAAAGGTAAAGTTACTTAGAAAATGTATTAATGCGAGTAGGCAGTAGGCACGCTGCGTCGCGTCGCTCGCGCGTCCGTCCCCCCATCCCATTTGTGGTGACATAACCCATATTATAACGGTTTTTTATCTTTCATCTAGACATAGCTTCGTAAACGTCTGTACGTTTTGCAATTATATATTATGATTAACTGTTTCCCGCGGCTATATTTTATAAGGCTGTTTGTTATTTTTGTATAGCTTAAAAATGAATTTTATTCCCAGAAATCCGTAAGTTAAGTAATATACTCACTTCAAAGTTAGACATATATAACACTAAATCAACTTCTTTATGTTTTTCTGTATTTATAATAATATCGTAAAATATTTTATTGTAGATGGTAGATACCTATAGAAATAGGTACATTAATAAAAATCTGAAAATATTCAATAAAGGGCAATGCAATGTTAGTAATGCATAGTTCGTATTAAAACCAAGTCACAGCATTCTATGTTGCTTTAATTAGAACAAGGTGTATTTATCTAGATTTTTCTACGTTTGCTGGGGCAGCTTAAAACCGAGAAATCGTCTAAAGACGGCAATTTAAGAACACCGAGGCGGACTCGGTAGCCTTGGTTGTTCCAATTACTAAGTATTCTAAATAACTTTAACCGGTGCGGCGGAGCAAAGAAGCAGTTTTTTGTTTGGTTTCCTCAATTTGTAACAAAGAGAATATTTAATAAAGAACCTTCACGATTCGCAACCAGCTTTGCGCTGTACCTCTACGTATTGATGTTTTATTTTTCTTTTATGTGAGATATTTGCAACAGATGACAGACAAGAACGAGAAAATGTTGTTAATAATAATTAATGTTAAATTTGATATGGATCTATTTTATTATTAGATATATATATATATAGGTATATAGTATTTACCCTTTGTTGATTTTTAACCCCCGACGCAAAAAGAGGGATGTTATAAGTTTGACGTCGATTTCTGTCTGTGTGTGTGTGTGTCTGTCTGTAGCATCGTAGCTCTCAAACGGATGGACCGATTTCGATGCGGTTTTTTTCATTTGAAAGCCAGTTTTCTTGCGGTGGTTCTTAGCTATGTTTGGTTAATATCGTTCCAGCAGTGTAAGAGTATCAGCTCTTTTCCAAAATTATTTAAGGCATTTTGGCGTATGATTACTCGATTAAGTGCTTCACGCGTGCCAGTGTAATCGTTAAATGACAATTAATTTGCGTAGGGGCTTTTCTAAATTTTTAATTTATAATTATTATTAAAAATTAACAATTAACTCAAAAACAATGCAAAAAATAAGCATATCACTGTAACAAAGTTTAATCAATAGGAAGAAGTTTAATGGTTCGTTTATCAGACGGCAGTTGATAGATCGCTTTATCCATACAAGATACAAGTGTAGTAGGTACGAGTATCTCCCTAAATAGAGTTGCAAGTTTTTGTCGGTCGTCTCATTAAGTCCCTGTTGTCGTTCAGCCGTGCTTGCGCTTATGGGAATCGCAATCACCTATACAACTAGTCACGTTCAATCATTTGTAAGAACTTTTTATAAACTCAAAAAATCTAAATGTGTAACATGTTAATGTTATATCCTAAATACGTTGTTACATTGTAGTGGTATAATTAAATCTCATTCTGAGATTCTCAGATATTTATATATCTAACAACAGTAATTTGTCTGTTTGTCTGCTAATTTAGAGGAAGTCTGAACGAATTTCAACAGGATTTTCACTGGTGGATCTAAGCGCTCCAGCCTTAGAAATAACATAAGCTATTTTTTCAACTTACCCGATCGAAACCGCACGCGAAAGCTACTATGAATAATATGCTAATTGATTTCTCTTTAGTCATTTTTTATTGATTTGCGAATAATAAATCTTCTTGACCAAACTTGTTCATATAATTAACCAGTATGAAATATAACGTTCGAGCTTATCTTTGCACAACCGGTTCTTAAACACATTAGTGAGTATGTCATTTTTTGCCACAAACTCATTCATTGCGTTTATGTACACATTTGCGAAAACTGTACTTTTTTTAAATAAAACTAGCTTTTCGGATTATTTAGCGAATTTATTTTGATTTTTGGTTCCCGACGTTTCGAATGCTTTACAGCAATCATGGTCACGGCAGAGACTAAGGTTTTAGATGTCTCAAAGGCGTAATATACTTGTTACAGACAGTGCCTACCCACAATTTTCACACAATATTTAAAAAATGATTCAAAATGTTAAATATTCGCGTAAATCTAAGAAAATATTATAATATAAGAAAGTATTAACTGTACTTTGTTTATCTTACCACATCGCGATCTTTCAGATCATAGTTACGTACCATAACATTTACTGAAAAATTGTTTTCTGGTCATTCGTCTATTCTCGTCGTCCATTCGGCTAATTCCGGCGATGGCGGACGATGACTTCCACGGCATTCGCTTGGCTCAGGACCTTGATGTCATATCGACATTTGATTTGCTACTTATATCTTAACTTACTAAATTTACTCATGATTTCTAATCGTATCTAATCTATACATATAATTAAGTTCTGAGTCAAATCTGTACATTAAATATTTTTTGAAAAATCTTATTGAAATATTATTATCGATACAGAGGCAAATCTATAGTTTTTAGAAGTTTTTTGTCTGTCTATCTGTAACCGCATCACGAGAAAACCACTGGACATATTTTGATGAAATTTGGTATGATGATAGCTGGCTATCCGGGTCAACATATGGGATGCTTTTTACCGCGGGAAAATATTTCATTTCTGAGAAAAAATACAAAAACTGCAATGTAAGAGTATACTGATATGTAAAACCTGAAAAAATGGTTTTTGGTCATCTGAACGCGGGCGTAGCCGCGGGCAATGCTAGTAAGAGATATATCTGTAACAAATCCATAAATGAGAGCTTAGATAATTATATATGTAGATCGATATGATAATTATCGGAATTAATTTGTACGTTATTACGTACCAGTGTATCCGGTTCACCTATTTGGACAGAATGTGTGTTAGTTTGGTAACGATTTGGCTCTGTTAAAGGTCACTGTTGTTTTATTTTGTAAGAATTAAAATTAGAAAGAGTTCGCGTGACGGATGCTATGAAATTAACGCAGATGCAATTATACACCCAAACTCTTGCAGATTGTATTGTATAAATCAACTTACATATAGTTTTCCTTAATTACATACATTTCAGAAACTTGATAGTATAATTATGTATTATCATTGTTAAACTGGATTGCGTATATCCGCTTTTCATAGTGTTTTTAGAGCGAGTATTTTTTATCACATTTGTTTTAGAGAGTTTAAAACATTCTATGTAAATTACTTAAAATCTAAAATTAGCTAAAGTAAAATGGTCTAACAAGTAGAATAATGAACACCTCCAGGTAAATCTCTAAGAAATTAATTGAATTTCTAAGAAATATATTGTTAACTGTAACGCCGGCGTGTCCGCGGTCGTGGAGGGATTATTGAACCTATGGTTTATAAGCAGTCATTGTTCTTAGCATGAGCATAGCAAAGAATACCTAATCTAAAATTTCTATAGAATATAGTTAATGTTCTTTTGCTTACATTTTTTATTAACTAGGAACTAAAAACGTGTACGCACAGAAAAATAACAATACGAACTCCACACAATAAAGTCGTGACTCACATTGGGAGTCCTATTAGCTAGCTTCCAGCTTACATAACCTTGATATACTTTGCTCTGGTGTCTTTAACCTTTAGGCCGTTCGATTAAGTCTTATTATACAAGAAATAGAGACGATAATGCCATAAAATAATTACTACATAGAAGAATACCGTTTGCTGTACATCAAACTATCAACAAGGAAAAGCGTTCAAAATATTTAGAGCGCGCTATACGAACCACGAACTATCAATTTATACGCTTTGAATACACTTGGCATCTCTAACAATTAAATGTACCCATAATAGTGGCAGTGTTGCTAATTATTGGCAAATATAATTTTGTGACAAAAAATAGATGGATTAAAAAAGCAAACTGTAAAACTTATGAAATTTTATGATCTTAAAATCTAGTCCAATTAACTTAATTTTGTATCCTGGGAAAACAAACGATGATGCAGAGTCTATACTTAGGTATATGACGTCTACTGTATATATAACAACCTTAACAATGACTTTTTTGTCATTATTATATACGTATGTTACTAAGTATGTTTGTTCTTCATATAATAAAATATAGTATTTTTTATCAAAATTCAATTGCCTACTAAAATATTTTATCAAATTGTAAATAATAATTTATTCATTATGAATTTTAATTTATGAACCACTGAAGTTTGAATGAAATTTATTTTGGTTATAAAATATTATCCTTTTAAAAGGTACATACATAATATATCACGTCTATTTTACTATGGCCATAATGATTCATTGCTCGTGACATTTTTTACACCGCTCAATAGTTCTCTCACTAGAATGATCCAAACAAGCTTTAATAAAAATTTTCTAATGATAACAATATGGAATGGAATATTTATAATACACGAATTCAGAATTCAATTCGAATACAGTTGCGGATATATTTTAGAAATTTCATCGTTAATGTTAGCAAAATGAACAGTTACTATGTGATGATGTCGCGTCTTAATATGAATATGGCAATTTACCCTCATCAGGTACAGTAATAACTGTTACTACACGATTATATAATATATTATTATGATCGTCAAGTTTTGCCTTCACAAAAAATGCGTATATTAGACGCCATTCATTATATTTCAAAAATTTTAAATACGTAAAAATTTAGTGTACCTATTAAAAATATAAAATATTCTATAGATATTGTAACATCTTATTAGGTTAATTCCCAATAGACTTAATTTGTCTTTCAGTAAAATTTTCACCTGTTTATCCCTACAGTTTCACGGCCGCAAATTGGCATATCACGAAATGAATCTCGATTCAAATGCCATATAGCGACGTCGCTAACTTGTTAACAACATGCAGCCTTGACTTCGCACCTATTGGTATTTAAACATGTAATCGATGTGCATCGTGTGTGGCGGTAAATGTTTGTGTTTCTCAGCAAAAGTGATGTGGCTCGTCTATTGGGCCTAATATCATAGTTACATATTTTTCGTTGTTTACTTTTTATCCCACTTATACATCTTTTAAGTTTTCTTTACATGCTTTTTATTTTTATTTACTATATCTATACTAATATTATAGAGAGGTAAATTTTGTGAGTTTGAGTTGGGGAGGGGGGTAATATCTGGGGTCTACTGAACCGATTTAGATGTAATTTGGTAAGAAGATAGCTTGAGACCATGGGAAGGACATAGGATACTTTTATCTCGGAAATCATCCCTTAAGGGGGTGAGAATGGGGATGAAAGCTTGTATTGGGAAGCAAGCTAAGGACGAAGCCGTGCGAAGCGAGGGTGAGTCGCTGAGTCGCTAATAAATAATAAAGTTTCTAAATTAGTTTAAAAACTGTTTTTGTGTTTTTTTTTTAATTTTGTAAGTTATGATTTAACAATATTTTGTTAATTCGTAAGTATTTTAGAAGTTGTACCATGGAAATTATGTATCGATGCACGTGTGTTCAAGGTCGGAATTAATAATGCCTTGATTTAAGTACTTTAGACAAACGCCATGATTACAAAACAATGGTTAACTTTCACTGCGATGTGGAACAATTACGTCAATTGGTTAGATTAACTGGGTTCAGCTACAATATTAGCCGACATTAAATTAATAAGTAGGTATATTATCTTGATATTTGAAGAATTCTGATGGCATGACATAATAAATACTTTGAGTTTGAACTGTCATACTATTAACTAATAAAAAACTATTTTTAATATAGCTCTTAAAAAATGTAAATTACTATTAGTTGATTTCGTGTAGGCTCATCTTATTTAAACAGCTGATTATAAATTTAATTTTTTAATATTTAAAATTTCATTAACCTGTAAATAGCTTTATGGAAATGATAATTCATTTTGAAAATAATCATGAAGCTTGGGTCAATAAACTGTCGAATCTTTTATACTGGCTGTATGTTATTCTAAGGAACAAGGCCACTGATAAGAACTTGTTACATAACATTTGATGGTCATGACGAAACCATGATTACAATAAGATGGGCTATAGAAATAGTCTTGCCTCAATAATAGCTGGCGAGATGAGCATAATGTTATCACACAATGATCAATTCAAGCAATGGCACAAAAAATAATTTAAAATGTTTATGTATAGTAAAAAAGTGAAGCAAGAAACGTTTTTAACAATCTAAACATGTTTTACAAAATAGTAAATAAAAAAAATCATAAATAAAAGCGGGTTAAACGATTTATGTTACGGCTCATATTAAACATTATTTTTTTTTGTTTTAATTCTACGTTTTATAAGTGGAAGTACTAACTATAAAATCTTTTTAATGGTGTCAATAAATTGAATATTGTAAATGGCCGGGTTAAATATATTTTATTTTATTTGTATCATAACAAATGGGGTGTTTTGAAACTACATATTTGATGCTACCGAACCTTCAGCGGGCTCGTCAGTTTAGCATTTCTTTTAAAATTTATTTAATATAGCATTGCCCGTGGCTCCGCCCGCGTTCAGATGACCAAAAATCAAATTCTTAGGTTTTACGTGTTAGTATACTCTTACACAGCAGTTTTTGTATTTTTTTCTCAGAAATGAGATATTTTCCCGCGGTAAAAAGTATCCTATATGTTGACCCGGATAACCAGCTATCACCATACGAAATTTCATCAAAATCCTTCCAGTGGTTTTTCTGTGATGCGGTAACAGACAGACAGACAGACAAAAATTCTAAAAACTATAGATTCGCCCTCTGTATCGATAATAATGTTTATTTCAATAAGATTTCCCAAAAAATATTTAATGTACAGATTCGGCTTAGTTACAATTTTATTATATGTGTAGATGTTCGTCCATCGTGAAATCAGCGGAAATAAACATGTTATATACTTTATTTTCGTAATCTTTATATATATAATTCTTCTGTGAGTGTGTATGTCACTGAACTTCTCTCAAACGATTGGACCGATTTTGATGAAATTTTATGTGTGTGTTCAAGGGGATCTGGGAATGGTTTAGATTCACAATTTGAATAATAATTTTCATCAAAAAAATTATTAAAAAAAGTTTGAAATTTTCAAATTAAAGACGTGTAGACAGGACAACGTCTGTCGGGTCCGCTAGTATCATAATATAACACTTCTCCTATAAAAGGCTCGACAACAGATTTTTAACCGACTTCAAGATAAGGTGGAGGTGGTTCTCAATTCGACTTAATATATTTATTATTAATAGCTCATTTAGTAAATAGATATCTTTAAGACAGATTGATAAGATATTAGCAATACGGCATTTGGTTTAAATATCTTCCAGATATAAAGGTGACGATAGAATAAGAGAATTGAACATTTCACATCTATTTGATACTCTTATCGCTTTCTCGTTAAAGGTTTATTGCAGTTTAGCTGATTAGAAATGTTTTGTTTCTCTTATTCTGATACATTTTATTATTCAACCTACTTTTGATGTGCTAATATCACAGTCAATCGGAGAGAGAAAATGTTGTACATATATGTATAAGCATTATGGTTTTTTTAGATTTTTATCTCTATAGTTACAATTATTCTATACAATTACTAGCGGACCCGACAGACGTTGTCCTGTCTACACGTCTTTAATTTGAAAATTTCAAACTTTTTTTAATAATTTTTTTGATGAAAATTATTATTCAAATTGTGAATCTAAACCATTCCCAAATCCCCTTGAACACACACAAAAAATTTCATCAAAATCGGTCCAGTCGTTTGAGAGAAGTTCAGTGACATACACACTCACAGAAGAATTATATATATAAAGATTACCATTCACGTTCATTTCCGCAAAACTTTCGCCTACTTCCAGTTAATCTTTTTTATTCATATTTACAACAAGGTATTACGTATGCTCGAGTAATAATGAACAAATCGGTAACCCACAACCCTCTGTTCTTGACTTGTTTGCCTTCACCACTTCCGAGACGTTACTTTCGATCCGTTCAATCGAGCGTTTTCTCAAACGTAATCGAAATCGAAATGGCTGCCAACGATCTCGATAAATGTAATTTCGACAGCAATCGATGCGTTTATCTGTATTGATGGTAATTTGTATAAATGCATAGCGGTTATGTAGATTGGAATCTGTGTTACGGTCCATCTCATTATTGAAACGGCTTCGAGAGTAAATGTCGATGTTCGTGGACGTAAAATTTATTATAATATATTTATAAATGCCCTCTTTGTCTAGCTAAGCTATTGTATTGGTGATGTTTATGTCAGCTTGTTATTGTTGGTTACATGAGTTTAATTAAGTAAAGTGGTTAAAGTTAAATTTATTATTTCCTTATGGTTACTTTACGATACTACCATAATGACGAATGTTTGGCCAATTGTAATATTTTATATTTATTATATTGCGCTAACTTTATTTTTGGGCTTCAGACCATAAAATGGAGCTTCGCTTGAGAAGTTTTTTTTTATTTTTTTAAATATTTGAAAACTTTTTTGAATTTTTGTCACAAATATGTAACATCTTCATTTATATCTTTATCTACATTCCTATAATATACTAAGCAAATTTAATTAATATATAACACATGTTTACAACAGGTATTGCAAAAAGACGTGGAATGCCACGGCCGGATCGTAAGCTCGGTGGTACGACTGTGCGGAGGCGGTGACGTCGCACGTGCGCTGGAACGACGCTGGCACCACCTGTACCTGCGGGCTATTGAGTGGCAGTGCCATCTTGAAGCCTGTCTCGCTAAGACTGATAATCAGGTAAGATACGATTTTATATAAGACTTTTAGCTCTCATGTTATTGTTATGGCATGAAATGTGATGCTCACCATTTTTATTACTATATTTTTGAGTTCCCAATATTTCGATACGATGCAATACAAGCTTCATGTTCACGAGTATTTGAGTTATCTTTATTTTGTAGATCATTAACTAGACAATTGGACCAGTCGCAATAAAATTTGTTAGATTTATTTTCTGTGGAATAATTTACCAGTAATGCTTTTAAAGCACCGTGCAAATTATAATGACACATCATTTTGTATCATCAGACGGATCTTACGATCTTACGCAATTGTCGTTCGCTGCATTTTTACTTTCGACCGACCGCAAGAATGAAGAGAGCGAGCTTGACAAAAAGAAGCTAATTATCAAAGAATTACTCAACGTTTTATTGACAGTAAAAGATTTCAAATGCAATTGAAATGATTATGATGATCATTCCAATTTATATTATCGGTTGCCACCAATAGATATCGTTTCCATATTTTATACTAGTGACTCACCCTCGCTTCGCTCGGGTTCGTCCCTAGCTTTCTTTCCATTACAAACTTTCATCCCTATTTTCACACCCTTATGGGATAATGGGATAAAAAGTATCCTATGTCGTTTCCAGGGTCTCAAACTATCTTCTTACCAAATTTCATCTAAATCGGTTCAGTAGATCCAGAGATTACCCCGTACAACGTCACAAACTCACAAGCTTTATCTCTTTATAATATTAGTATATAAAGATTAACATAGACTCTAAGTCTATACTCGAATAATAAATTTCAAAATTCATGCGATTGTCATATTGTGTTGTGTTGTGCAAAGTAATAGTATTTCAACGAAAAAGATATCTTTCAAATACATTGTGTAATCTATTCATATTTTGAGCAACCCAAAGTACCCCACGTATTTTCCTCACTTGAAAGCGTTGTTCATTTAGTGAGTTTCGCACGAAATATTACAATAGTGCAATCAACCACACGCTGTGTTTGCACATACGACCCCAGGTTGCATCAACAGTTTAAGAGATAATATTTGTGAAAAGGGTGCCAGCTTTAAACGTTACTTTAAACTGAATGATAGTTTAGGGTAGGGTTAGCTCACGCTAATGTGTCTATAAATAATTCTATAATGGGATAAGGGATTCGTGCTGTGATTTGTGGTCGCCTGAAGGCATTGACCTAATTCAATAAAGTTAACTCTAGAACAGTGAGACCGACTTTTCTTTGACATTTATTTAATTTATGAAGGGCCCGATCGTATAAATTGAGGGCGCTTAAAATGAATTTTATTTGTTCATAAATTAATTCATAAGAGCCCTATATATAATTTTCAAGCTCGCTATAAAGCATGTATGTATATATTTAGTTAATATAAATTTTATTATTCAATGTTTATATTTGTATTAGGTACGTCAAATGTGTGACTTGAAATATTTAATTGTTTTTAATATGACTACGGAGGGAAAATACAATTATGATGACTATAAAGGAAAAATTTAATATATATCACGAATAAAACCCATTGTGAAATAATAAATGTAGAAGTAACTATGTTGGTTAGTTTGATACTTTCTCACACTTGCCCCGGATTTTTATTTTTAACACATTAGAATAAGAAGGAAATTATTGTATTATTACGAACGTAAGCCCTGTTCAGTATCCTATACAACTATAGAGCCTCTACCAAAAACCATACATATTTATGTATGTAAGTAATTCTTCTATTCCAATAGAAAACCTTAAATTTTAAACGTTTTCTACTTTTTTCAGAACTGTGTGCCAATAGAAGTAGCGAGTGATAGCGACGACGAGCCAGCTCTCAAACAGCCGAGGTTGAGTAGACGTGGGTCGCCGAGAAGACAGCGTACACCAGTAAATGCTAAACATAGGGACAGTTCTGAAGACAGCCGGCAATCTGCCTCTGAGGTAAATGGATTTTTCATTATGTGTGACCCTAATTATATACATATATGTACATACAAGCAACTCACCTTTGCTTTGCTTCGGGTTCGTCCATAGAAAAACAAATCTATCGCACGGGTATATTTTTCCCGGGATAAAAAGTAATCTATGTTCTGTTCCATATATCCATAACCTATCTCTGCACCAAATTTCATCTAGACCCATCCGTTCAGCTGTTCTGACGTGAATCAGTAATAGACATCCATCCATCCACAGAAACTTTGACATTTATAATATTAGTATGGATTTTTCTGTTTGTCCGTCTTTTCGCATAGCAACGAAGATACAGACCGATGAGATTTTTTGCATAGACAAAGTTTATGAGTTTGGCAGTTATTTAAACACGTGTAAGTAAAGCGAAGACTAATCCACTAGGTTTTAAATTACGAGTATCTCTTGCCATATCACTCATGTAAAGAATTTAATGACGATATAATAATGCTAAACAACTCGAATGTGCCCAAAAGTCATATTGTAAAGGCTACTATTTCAAATAAACTTCGTTTAGAGTAAGTGTGGACGTGTTTATCGTTAAGGGTTTGTCTCTAGGAAGACAAAAACAAAGCTATCCCACGGTAACCGTTCATTTTTCCCGGATAAAAAGTAGCCTGTGTGTTATTCCTGTGCCAAATTTTATCCAGATCCGTTCAGCCGTTCTGGCGTTAAAGAGTATCAAACATACACCCATACTCACAAACTTTCACATTTATAATATTAGTACAGATGCTAGCATATACATATAGGTACGTATATATTGAACAGTTAGTTATAATAACTAGTCACCATAATCTCGAATATATCGAAATAACCATAAATTTTCAAAGCGGCCTTACATAGCGCAAAAATAAAACATATAATTTTAGCTAGCTTGCCAACTGTTAGTAACCTATAAACAGATCTCAATCAATTGATCGAACTAGAACAATGCCTATTCAGTACATTTCGAGGCGTATTCGGAACAAAGAGAGAGACGCACTTTAGGCACTTTGTTTTCATGAAATCTTAAGTGCTATCCACTATTTTTATTCCATTTATAATTCAGGGGAGATTCTAAACTGATTCGTATTATTTTTTTATTTAATAATAAGTACGTACACTTAGACCCCTATGTTAAATTTCATAGACAGCTTTATTTATTTATATATGTAGTATTTTATTCCTTACTTTATGGTTCGTTTTTTTTAAATTAATTACTTATAACTTTTATTCTGACAATTCATTTTGGACTTTTTATTTGTTACTTTTAAGCAACTACATGTCGTATCGGTAGATGTACATTATGATTTTGATGATTATTGGAAAGTATTAATTATTTTCCAATATTTACGCCAATATTTGGTATTTTAATTAAAATTATATTTTTCGGATTTTTTTTTATTATCAATCAATAGTCATCATCAAGTCGCTTATGATCATGATTGCAGTCAAAAATAAAAAAAAAACGAAATATGTCTTATTTACACATAATCGGTAAAAGACACTTAACAAAGCTAATAAACAATTATTACAGGAGGAACAAGAATATGCAGTGAGGTTCACGTGGCGCGGTTTCGGCTCGGACTGCGAGTCCGAGTTGGTTCGCGACAGGGACACAATGGCGGACGCCAGAGTGCCGTCCGTTGAGAACATTGACAGTCGGCAGACTGACCAGACTGTGCCTGGAGACCAGGTTGATGGTAAGGGTCGATATGTTACTAAAATACTTTGGATTACGGCAAATCTTAACTTGACCATTAAAATTTACGATTTGATAAGTCTAAAGATATATATTCTGTGAAGATCGCTCTATTCAGTCTTATGGTCATTAAAATAGTATATTTTGTATGTTTAGACTCGGACGTAATAGAATGTATTTAGGTTTCATAATGTGACATTATGAATAACAACTTTAAACTTCTTAAGTCGAAGATTTTTGAAATTAATATATGTATGTATGCATATATTTACATACATATAAATCCAACTATACTATTATTTCTTACTTGTCTTTCCCTTTCTCATATATTTTCAATCTACGAAGTAACAAGTAAATTGGATTCGATTCTTATTTACGGTTTAGTTAAGACAAAGTAAGTTCAGTACTGCCATCCAAAATGCATTATCTTGATAGGTACTAATAGTACCAATAGACAGCTGATGGCTAAGTGAGGAGTCACGGTTCCCTTTTGGCATAGAAGTGTTAAGTCATAAAGAAAATAATTCTTCTTTATTATATGTACTTGATACTTTAATCACGGTTCACATATTGCGGAACTTTATGGGTGTACGTACAGGTTTGCCAACTCTCCTATCCACTTTAATGACACCGGTAACAATACCCTTTTATACATTTGCATAGAACATTAATAGTGATCAATGGTTACAAATGACTGACAGTTAACTTTCCATTTTCTCACATAAGAAAATAACTCACGACTCATCCCAACTCATTTGAATTTAAAACAATGACTTGTTGAATCTATTAGTGAAGGTACTCGTTAAGATAATGCGTCTAGTTTACTAACAAATGATCATATCGATACAGTTATCGGAGACAATAATTATCGCTCTTTTTATTCGCAGGTGTAAACACACATGAATGTCTCAAAGTCGAAGAAATCCCAAAGGAAATGAAAACTCCACCGACTGTAGTCAAACGAAAAAAACCCGTAGACACTTCTAAATTTAATCAATCCGATAGAAAATCAAAAAATTGTGCCACGTTCTACTTTAGACATCACGACACGGATTCGGACAGACAGATGATCGAGGATGAGAAATCGCAAACGGAATCGTCTGAAGAAGAATGGACTTACGTCGATGGTCCGAAAATAGCGAATGAAGATTCAACGGATATAATGACATCTTCAGTTGAAATTCAATGCGAAATGCCCTTAGACCAAAATAAAGACAAATCATCGCCGAAACCAAAGTTAGAATCGTCTACACCAGACCTTATACGTGTTGATCAATCTTCAAGATGTAAAGACATAGAGAGATTAGTGATTGAAGCTGAAGAACTTGTTCAAAAACAACAATTAGCAAAGAAAAAAGCATCTAGAAGTTTAAAACCGTTAATGTTTGAAGAGGAAGGCAAAACTGTTAGTCGTGCGAAAATGTCACGCATCAAGGAATGGTTGAATCAAAGTACAGACGAAAAAAATGATAGCAATCAGGTAAATTATACTTTTTTAAATTTTATAAATATGTTTATGCGTTATACTTGTATATATGTATGTTTATTTTTGTATTATATACAATATTATTAATTATTTTAAAACCAATTCTTTCCAATCCATTCTATTTTCATTTAATTTTTTCTCTTTGCAGTTTAACTTTTACTTATATCTATATCAATATATAGTATGGCGTACGTTGTGTACGGGGGAAAAAAATGATATTTTACTTTGTTCTTATACAATATATATCTCACTAGCATTGCCCGCGGCTCCGCCCGCGTTCAGATGACCAAAAACCAAATTCTTAGTTTTTGCATATTAGTATGCTCTTTCATTGCAGTTTTTTGTATTATTTCTCAAAAATGGGACATTTCACCGCGGTAAAAAGTATCCTATATGTTGATACCAAACATCAAAATCCCTCCGGTGGTTTTTCTGTGATGCGGTAACAGACAGACAAAAATTCTCAAAACTATAGATTCGGCCTCTGTATCCATAACAATGTTTATTCATTAAGATTTTCCAAAAAATATTTAATGTACAGATTCGGCTTAGTTACAATTTTATTATATGTCCTATAGATAAGTGAAATTGTGTACAGATGAAAAACGATTAAAGACGTATAAAAATAATTAATACGTCATATTAATAAAGTGTTTACTTTTCGTTTCAGGGAACAGAAAGCTATGACGCATCAGGTGAATACACAACAGAAAGTGAAGTCGACACATCGTTTACGTGTGAAGACAGGAACATACACTCGTCTATGGATATGAGCACGTCCACTTGTACCGTCACGCCGACCCATCATGCTAAGGTATTTTGCGCTTTATTGCTTTGTGCTAAAGCTCATTTTTGTGTGTAAATAATTGTGCTGCATCGTGATGGTCGTTGGTTAAGATGCATATATATTTCAGTTAGGAAGGGATTCTCTTGACTGTAAATTAAGTGAAAATTAAATTCAGTTTACATATCTACATGAAATTGTATATTATCTGTAATAATTTTTATATATATTTTTGGTCATAGGCTATCATATACCTTTGTAATAATTATTTGTATATCAACAGCATAGTACAATCTTATGTATTTCTAAAAGAAAGTCATTGTTCTTTTGTCAATTAACCAATAGTTATGATTTGAACTATATATTGTATTACGTTTTTTTCAGTACATTTTAATCACTGTATTATTTTACTCAAAATATGACATAATGTTTGTCACATGAGAGAGTCAGTCACATCTTAACCGAAAGCTATAGGGATCAATTGCAATATTTCTTACAGCACTATGCATTATTCAATTATATCACAACACTATTTGCATATCGATATTATTTAATAATCATTAATCGCACCAACACTAACCAAATCGCAATGTATGTGCTAACAAACGGTCACTAACCAGGTGCAACTGCGCAAGAAGCGTAACAACACTAGCGCTCGGCCGTGGTCCGTCTCGTGCCTGTCGCAACTCAACGCGGGCACATCACTAGCGGCCACGCCCACTAACGACACCATGCACAATATGTCGATATCGGAATCCGCCTTGAACACACTCGCTTCACCGCAAAGAGTCACGCCAGGGAATTCTAGCTCCAAGCTGCGCGGTAGTTCCACTACTGTACAGGTTTGTTGTGAATGGTTTTTTTAATGCATTTTTTTTTGTTTTCTCTTTTTTTATATGTAACTATATACATTTTCCATTTGAATTAGAATATTCGATATTTAAGCATAACCTAAGTAGTGTTACCCATTGAAGTAGTTTTATCTAAATTTCCTAAATCTTGTTTTTTTTTATTTTTTGTCTGCCTTTTTTATTTTTTTACCATTTCAATAAGTAGTACTAAATAGTAGTTAATCCACTAAAACAAAATTTTCCTTACAATTTATGTCGCTAATTATATTTTTGATCTCTCAAAACCAGGGTCACATATCAAGCACAAATACAATGACGGAAGCGTGCACGTCCTGCGTCGAAGCAAACGACAAACAATGTTGGTTGCGACGAAAACGTCTTAAATTACGACGATACAACAATAATACAGCCCGAAGGGAGAGATTGGTCAAGTCTTTGTCGTTTTGTGGGAGATTGAGTCCTGAGATCGAGGATAAGAATGAGAGGAGTGCAGCGAGTGATCCCGCTACTAGCAGGAAGAATAGGTATGATATTATTGAACTTGATTTACGTGATCCATGAACATCAATGAGTAAATTGAAAATAGTAATTGATTGGGGTTTTTTTTTGCTCCTTTAGAATTTTTCTAGTAATTTTAGTTTTATATATGTATGTACGTTGTATATAATAACCAGTAACATTTTTGCAATACAACTTTTACTATCGCTAGACATGCTCAGAGAATAGTTGTGTAATTTATTTGGATAGTATTCAATTATAATTTAATTGATACAATTTAGATATTATGTAATAAATATTATGAATATGTTAATTGTTTATTTTTAATAGAATGAATGATGAAATTTTTGTTATCAGGTTCGATACTACGTCTACATCTGGAAATGACAGCGACGAGGAACTTATCAAACAACAACTAGCAACAATCGCCAATTTACGTAGGAGTATCGAAAAAACCCACATTTCTAAAGACGATAGTGCCATTCCAGAACAAAATGAACAAGAAACAGTCACGCCTAGCTTTAAATTGGGTCCTGAAGGAGGATCAGTTAGGCCGCGACTAACAAAAAGTATGGAAAGAGAAAGGACTTTCTTGTCATTAAGTCTGGGTGATCCCAGTCAGATGTGGGACCTTTGTGTGGATAAAGACTCGGATGTAGACAAAAGTGTGACCGCCGGCACGGAGGGACATAGCTCGTTTTCGGAGCAGGCGTGGGATTTTTATCAGGTATCGTATAAATATATCTTCAAAATATTTAAAAAATAATAATTCAAAGGTTTGTTTTATATAAGAAGAAAATGTTTTACCATAGCTTTTACAGCAATATCTTTTTGGTTATTTATTATTTAATATATTTTTTTCATTTATTTACTTATTTTTGTTTTCATTGTCCACAGGAAAAATACAATTCGGAACCGTATTCTGAAGCGCCAGATTCGGACGCCGCTCGACGCCTATTAGAATTCGGAGATGATTATAGAGCGTTCCTCGACTCGCAGTCGGACTGTTGCTCAAGTTTATCTGCTCAACCAGAATATGACCAGAGTCCAAGTGGCACTCGCCGCAGAAGACCACCTTCAGATATGTCAAGGGAAAGAAGCCTGCCAAGATACAAAAGACCGACAAAGACTTCTCCAATAGATACACCTTCACGTAAACCCAAAAAATCCATGTCTAGTGCGGAGCGTAAAAAGTCACTCCTAGACAGTCTAGAAAGATCTAGAAACAACACCAGCGTAGAAAGTAATGAAAGCATCCGACGACGAAAACCTTCGGAGAACGACAGAAAGAATACCAAACGTTCGCCGGAATTCGATCTCCTAAACATTCAAGCACTAAGCCGCAGACGTCACAGCTCAAACTTAACTAGCGACGAAATCAACAGTTCATTAGAATACACTGAAGTCAACAATCGACCGGATATACTTGACTCTTTGAACCGACGACGCAAAGAGGACGGAGAGTCAGAACTACAAAAGGTCGCGTTATCCGAACTCCGTCGGTCAACAGAAAGTACAGAATCGAATTCCGAACGCGAGTCTTCACCGAAGTTGAGACGGAGTTGGGGCGATTCGGATTCGGAATCCGAAGAAATCCGATCGCTAGTCCGAAGGTCGAGCACGCAACTGGAAGTGACGGAGGCGATGATGTCGAGACATGACGCGTCGCCCGACCTGCTGCGGTCGTTCGACTACGTAAGACAATTCGATACAGATTATGATAGCTTCACAGACGACTCGTGTGTAACGATTCGTCCGAATTGTCTCAAAGCGAGACTCTGTCTCGCAGTTACGGCGTTTTCTATTTTAATCATAGTATACATACACATCCAATGACATTTGGCTTGGGCATGTTTGATATTTATTATCATGTATGTAAGTATTCGTATTAGGTACGCTGCGATTGTCAGATTGAAACTTAATATTCTGCTACGGTCACGTGCGATGACGTCGTAATACTTTAATATCAGTGTTCCTGGATGACCTAATGTACATACGGCTTATTTGTATAACTTTACTAATGTATACAAATTAAGCAGTCCTACTAGATACCGTCCCAGCACAGTTATGGGCAGCTACTCGATTAGATTTAAAATTAATCGGTATATGAGCCTAAAATTATGAATTTAGTCATTTTTACAATCAATATGTAGTCCACTATATATAATGTTATACATATAAAGGAGCTTATATACGGCATTGTGATCATAAAGTTGTAGTCAATATACATTCCAATTTGTAAGTTAGTTTTAAATAGGTACAAATGAAACGCATTTGGAATAATTTATTAATATAATGTCTGACAAACGCAGTTTTTTTTTTATTATCTTTCTTGATGATTGTCGTGACACCTGTCAAATTCCTATTACCTTTGACAGTTGACAGCTTACTTAACTGCTAGTGTGAGTGTGTACCTTTATATATGTTTGACACGATTTTACTTTTATTATTATATATAGTATATATTGTCAAGAAAAGTAAAACCGTGTCGAGATTCAAATCACATATTTCCTTATTTTTGTTTGAGTTTTGTTTTTTTTTTACATTTACTAACAAGTGTTTGTGTTTTGTAGTTTACTAACTGCCTGAGTTATTTTATATTTTCCTTTTTAATTTAATCCTTTTCTACATTAGTTGCAATTATTCGGTGCTAGAACAAATCTAACTTTTAGGTATATTCAAGTAATATATTTATTATTCATAAAAGTTAACGGTGCGGGTTCGGGCGGCTTATCAATGTGACGGCGCTTTAAAAACGACTGACATTACACAACGAATTGACAGATGTCACATTTGACATTTGCGTCACAGATAGAAAAGAGCTTAGTTACTTAAATTATTTTATTTATAATCTACATCTAATCAAACGTGATCTTCGTTGTAGTTTAGCAATAATTAATTTGGTTGTGTAATTTATTGCATAAAGTTATCTCGTAATTTTAGTGCATACGAATATGTGATTTGACTGAACTCCGTAATATAGCGTTTCGATTGTGAATGTATTATCGTATGTTGATTAGGGCTAGGTTGTTAATTGATTTATTTACAAAATGTAAAAAGCTACAGTGATCTTTGTATAAATGTTTACAAGAATAAATGTTTAAATTTGCAAATCAAAATGGAGTTTCAGTCAATTAACACCCATCTCTATCAACATTAACTTATAAAGTTATATGAACGTCTTCTATTAGTGAAGTGATCTTGTAAGCATTTGGGTTCTCTATGAGCTTTTCTAAACTATTTGGCCTTAAAATTTCCATACGCTTTGGCACTATTAATATTTGAATGAAAAATAAAGCTATGCCAGAATAATAATACGAATAAATCAAAAATATTGCATGGACATTATTAAAAGCTAGTTAATGCATGTTGTTTGAAAGTGTTGTACTTTATGCTAGATGAAACAAAAAAAGTAGTAAGTTTAAAATGATTAATTTATTACAAATTTTTTTTAGTCTGTGTTGATTCAATTGGAGTTCTAAATTCAAATTTTATTCAAAAAACGAACGTTTTTCCGTTAGCAAATTGAATTTTTATGCTACACAGACGGAGGTGGTATCGCGTTGCCGCGAAAACATCAATCTATTGGAAGTGGCTCTCACTGATGGATCTCTATCTCCGGCCTTACAGAGAGACGTCAGAGGTTTGTACATTTTATATGTTGAAGTGAAGTAGAAAAAATTTATTCAATTTTTATGGGATATTTCAAAATTAAAAGTTAATACAAATTACTAAATGGGATGTTTGAACACTGTTTTCAAAAATATTCGTATATATTTACTGTCTAAAAAACCTGCCACTTGATGTAAATTATTTTTTATATATTTATTATTTTCGAATGATATCCTATATCTTAACTTTAAATAATATGGAGCATATTCATAACATGGTGGTTTTTTTAAATAAATTTGCATGTCTTTCAAGGTTGTTTTTTTAAAGAAAGCAGAATCGTGTAAATCGTGCATTGGATGTATCTGGTTACTGGCAAAAATACGAACGCCCGGTGGTCTGCGGTCACAAACTTGGGTTCTTGCGACCGGTTCTGAGCGAAGTGTATAGAAAATATCAAAGTTGATCGATTTTTATTTTGTTTTAAATAGGAAGACATTTTGAACTGTATTTGATTTGTTGTGTAGAAATTTTCGTTCTAATCTAAACTATTTCTACTATAATACTCTCTGCTCCCAATAAAAAAAGTTAAGAAATAGATAAAATTACATCATCCCAACTATTGATTCTTAGCATTAGCTTGCTACTCAAAATATTTATGGAATAATGACTTAGAAATTAGAAGAAGATATATTAAAAAAAAATAACGATTAAGTCTTACAAAGAAGTTAGTTCTTAAATAAAGCACAAGTAGATTTTTCCTTCTCATTGAATAAAATCTCGTTCGCAATCAAGGTGACGCTGTATTTGGAGTTTCAGAACTGGTTCGCCTCGGTTCGTCGCTGTAATTTAATATCGACCGACTTTTTAGCCCTTGAACAGTATTTGTGAGCAAAATTTTATGTTTGATTATAAATTAAAAAAAATACAAAACGGAAGAGAAAACAAAAACAATAAAAATATGTAAATGTATTTTTTCCATCGGCAAATTAATGCCTGTATGTTTTCTCTTATAAATCGGTAAATGTAAGACTATTTACTGATCTTAAAAACCTTAAAGAAATACTCTTATATAAAAAAATATCTATTTTGTTATTTTCAAACCAATTTTGTAACATGCCGCAGACGACACATTGCAAAAAAGTCCAAAAGCATATCCTATTTGTATCCCGGAAGCGGCGATATGGCGATCATGCCCTGCCGTTTGCGCTTGCCGTCTGAGTCTATTTCTGCCTAGGAAAGCGGAACGTTCAACGAAAGTGAGGACGTCCGACTCATTTCGCAATCGTTGCCACTTATATAGAAAACTTTTTTTTTAATGATTAGATTTATTGATCTACTAATAGTTATGTATTAGTAGAAATGTAGAGATGGAAGCAAAATTATATAAAACCAGAATTCAAAACTTTTTAAGTTATAAATTACCTATTAAAATATAATTTAAAAAACCTAGTGTAAAAGTTTTAACTAATCTTAACTAATACTACTAAACTATGCATTTAGGAGCTATTTATAAAACAAAAACACTTAACATGTGTATCTCAATGGAAGCTAAAAGATAACAACGTAAAGATTGGTAATATAGTTTAAAGATTGTGTTTAAACGTGTTTTTGCCTTTAAGTGGTAGTTGCTTAAAAGCATCCAAAGTAGATAAGTACAGATATAAATAGTTTTCCGAAAATATACGTAGCAGTTCATAAATTTTGACGACACCTTTGGCTCAATTTGTAGTAACCTTACTTGCTGTGCCAGTTGTCGCGGGTTCGAGTTCCGCTGGGGGCATTCATTTGTATGATGAGCATGAATGTTTGTACTCCAGTCATGGGTGTTTATATTTATAATATATATGTATTTAAAGTTATATATGTGTAGTATATCAACTATCTGGTATCTATAACACAAGCCTCGTAGCTAACTATGGAACTAGATGGTGATGTGTGTTAATGTTCCAACATATTTATTATTTTTATTATTATTATTATTATAAATATACTTACACTTATTAGTATTACACTTAGTAGTAGTCTACCGCTTAATACTATAACGAATTCTAAATAAAATCCAACTATTGTTTAATAAACGCTTAGGAAATTAATTATTTGAGGACTAAAAAAACATAAAACCCATTTCAACCACCCAATCCAGAGCTTAAAAAATTTAAGCACTCTTTAAGCTTCTTATGTCGTAGGTACTCGTACGTAATGATGGGTGTAAATTCATACTTAATATTATAAATGTGAGTGTGTTTGTTTGTTTGTTTGTCCTTCTTTCACGTCGAAACGGAGTGACGTATTGGGTTGATTGGGAGCAAAGGGATTTTAAGGATGATATAACAGATATTCTTAAAAATTACTCATTTTTAAATCCTAAGCTATCTGGATTTTTTATTTAATGTGAAAGTGTGTTTGTTTGTCTTTCTTTCACGTCAAAACGGAGTGACGGGTTGGCATGATTTTGTGTGTGGAGATAGTTGGAGTTCTGGAGAGTGACATAGGCTACTTTTACCGCAGTAAATTATTATCTAATTCCCATGGGAAAACACGTTATAATACAATCCAAAAGAATATTTATGATCAAAATTACTTGAAACTTGGTATTAATGCTCTTCAATAAAATTAAATAAATAAGTTTTTTACCATTTTTCAAAATTCATCCTATAAGGGGGTAAAATAGGGGATGAAAGTTTGTATGAAACTACCTTATTAGAGTTTTTTTTGTAGTTTCAGCGCGAGTTCTAATAGTATACATCGAATATAATAAACTATATTACTGTTATTGTTTTACATAAATTAATCTACAAATTTATAAACTTTTGTTAATTACAACAGTCAATATTTTTTTATCCATTAGGTCACGATAAGGTGACATCATTCGGTCTAGAGATCTAAAAAGAAAAATAAACATGAGGTATCTCTTTATGCACTTATCATAATTATTGTCAGTAACTTATAGTTGTCTGTAACATAAAGGTGGCAAATTGCAATGGCGATCAGGAAGGTAGTGATTTATATTGGGAAATCCAGATCGGTTAAAAAACGTGAGTTTCCTTACTTTAAAGCATTAGTTAATACATTTATTATTAATTAATTGAAATTAAATAACTTTACAATCTTTTTGATTACCCTGAAGTTAAAATCTATACATATTATAAAACTCTAACAGAGTCGGATCTATATAGGTACACGAATCTGAATACAGAGGTCGAATGTATAGTTATTAGGATGTTTATCTATCTGTATGTCTGGGAACGCATCACGAGAAAACTACTGGACAGATTTTGATGAAATTTGGTATAATGATAGCTGGTTATCCGGGTCAACATATAAGATACTTTTTACTGCGGAAAAGTGTCTCATCTCTGAGAAATTTATACTAACCTTTAACGTTAAATACATATCTTTATCTGTAAAGGATAGATATGTGCAATAACTTTTAAGTTACTACACTCTATATTGTAGTTATAATATGTATATTCTTTTTTTAGGAACCACATTCTAATAGAACTAACGGGATAATTGCATGAGTATTATCTATTTAAGTACTATAAATAATCTGACTCCTCAATAATTATTTTCAAATAAGGCTTGATTGCAGAATGTCGACTAAACACAACCTTAACTAGGCAGTTTAATTGCTATAAAAATGCTATTGAATGGGAAGTTTTCTTTTTTAACCGACTTCCGAAAGGAAGAGTTCTATGTTCATATGTATGTATTTTTTAAATAAGTATAGTCAAGATAGTGTTGTTTTTTTTACTTAGATATTACTTACTCTATTACGAGTACTTCCTGTCGTAGAATTTTAACCTTAAGTTTTAAGTTCAAATTTAATTAGCCATTAAATAAGTTTAAACTTTTTTAACGATAAGATGATAAACTGTTGCCTTTTAATATTTATTCATATCTATAATTTTTAAGACACAGGTAACCTTACAGTTAGCCTTCATTTTCAAATAAAAATGAAAAAAGACACTGCTTATAAGCGAATGGAAACGTTTTGAACGATTTTAATAGACCATTATTACGCTCATTGTATGCAATTTAAACACAACCTTCGGAAGTAATTGTAAGCGATTCTCAAATGCAAAATATAAATAAGCACCAAAAGCGCATTGAGAATTTTACGTTTCCAAGGATTTTCAGCCTCACGACAATGCACCGCAGTGGAAGATGTTCTAAGAAATAAATTCTAGAACGTTTTATTTTTCTCTACACGACAGTATGAATGAACATGTAAATTGATGATAAATGTAGAAAACTAGCATTTCCCGCAGCTTCGGCCGCGAACAGATGACCAAAAATCAAATTCTTGGGTCTACATGTTAGTATACTCTTACAATGCAGTTTTTGTATTTTTTCTCGGAAATGAGATATTTTCCCGCGGTAAAAATATCCTATATGTTGACCCGGATAACCAGCTACCACCATACCAAATTTCATCAAAATCCCTCCAGTTGTTTTTCTGTGATGCGGTAACAGACAGACAGACAGACAAAAATTCTAAAAACTATAGATTCGGACTCTATGCATATTAATGTCTATTTCAATTAGATTTTACAAAAAACATTTAATGTACAGATTTCACGCAGTTACAATTTTATTATATACATACATAATTCACATGATAAATAAACTAATAAGATTACGTCTGACATAATTGCTTAGCAAAGATAATGACGTACGATATATAAAACAACATACATACAATAATTATTTATAGCTTATACAAATACTACAATTTACATAAAAATTTAAAGTAGGTATTTCAAGAAATATGAAAATAAACGATTTACTTTTGTACTGTAGTTAATATGCTTCAGCACTACTAACAAATAGGTACAATGTAGAGTCGATTGTTTTCAGTTCCTTCAAATACGTAAAACCAACCTTCCTAATTATGATTTCATATCGTTTCATGATATCATCGTCGACGACAAAATAAAGCGCTTAAACGGCTGTATTGTTTCCACTCGATATGTGGTAATGTATCGATAGTTTTTGGTGCAATCGCTTCAAGCGCTGATAATTCTGAGT